CATCCATCCATCCATCATCTATCTATCATCTATCCATCCATCCATCATCCATCCATCCATCCATCATCCATCCATCTAAAACTTGTTGATACTTTCCTCCACTGATGTAGCAGCACATGAGGCACTAATGCACCCCCATACCTTCAGAGAAGCAGGCTTTAGAACTGAGCGCGGATAACAGTCCATGTGGTCTCTCATCTCCTCTTTAGGTGTAATTTCTTCTAAATTCTTAAAATCTTTCGACGATATTATAAACTGTAGATGATGTGATAGTCAGTCCGTCCAACTATTTCATACTTCATCTCAGCTTTTTTGAAATCAGGTTGTAAATGTGATGAATAGCAGATTGTGACAAAACATGAGCTATTGCAACAAACCAAACCGCCCCTTCTGCTTTTATAGAAATAAAAAGTAGCAACCAAGTGCTGCTGCGTTATATGTGCAGGTTTGGTCCTCTGCAGCTTCAGGTGTGTGTTATAACACCATCAAACCCGAACAGCTAAAAGAGGACAGAATCAAGCTCCCAGTTATTCCTTATAAAACCACAGACTGTTGGAAGGTTAAATAAACAGCATGGCATGGCGCGTGTTCATTAATCACACAGCTACATCACGCTCATACTAAGGTGCGGTGCACGGTGGCTGGGAGGCTGAGGAGGGGGGAGGGGGTGCAGAGAGCCAGTGATGTAATGCTGAGAGCAGCATCACACATTTGTGGAAACAGCGTCCATGTTTCGACACTCAGCTGATCATTTACCCACCACAGATCAATGACTGACACACTGAAGCCCCCACAGGCTCGTGTGTCACATCCCTTCATCAGCAGCACGGTACCCCCACCACCACCACCATCATCATCATCATCCATGATTCAGGTGTGAGCAGGTTAGTCAGGTGATCGTAACAGCAAACAAAAGCCAGAGCCCTGAGAAGTGAAGCTTGAAACCCAGACATGCAGCTTGTTGTTTCTCACCTGCACAGAGCGGAACGCAGCGGAGCCACAGCAGCAGCAGCAGCAGCGGCACCATGCTCCGCCCAGGACCCTCGCTACTAACACGCACACGGTTTGCTCGACATGTGCGTGACCCTGCGGGGCTCCGGCACCTGCTGTCAGCTCCAGCACCCCGGCTGCTCCGCGCGGGCAAAACGCATTGTGTCTTGTGATGCCGCAGGCAGGAGCAGCTGAGACAACACGCGCAAGGTAGACAGAGGCTGACGGAAGAGCTTCCGGTTTGGCGTCTTCGAAGTAAAAGCATCAAGAAACGCGGGATTTCCATCAACAGCTAAGACAAAAGCGCAGAGAGGGCGGAGCAAAATTGACAGCTGTGTTGCCTACAGTTAATAAAACGCCAGTTTAGATTCAAATGGAAAATTTCACACAATTTCATAAAATAAAAAAAATTGATCAAGACATTAAGAAAATAAAAACGTTTCCCGTTGCTTGTGTTATTTTGTCGTAACTGTTGAAAGGAATTAATTAATTTTGTTCTTCTTGATCCACTATATTCACATAAAATAAAGTTTTAACTTTAAAAATTAACCGTATGATATTGAATTATAATTAAATTATGTTGAAGGGAAAAGTGTCAGACATCCGGTCTGACGATGTCTCTCTCTCTCTCTCTCTCTCTCTCTCTCTCTCTCTCTCTCTCTCTCTCTCTCTCTCTCTCTCTCACGCTCTTCTCAATATGTCAATGTATATTTACTCAGTCCTTCATTTTGAATGAACAATTTAAATATTATCCTTACTTTATTGCTGCACCAACATATTTTTGTCCCGAATCCTTTTGGTTTACAGTTGATGTTTCACTGCTGCCCCCATGCGGTCAAACTTTATATCTGCAGACACAAATAAACAGTTTTAACCATTTTCGACACGTGCTTCTTAAAAATCATATATGGGTGAACACTTTGCACTCGTTCTTTACGTTATTAAAAAACACACAACACTAAGGATGGTATTTTTATTTGCCGGTAAAAGGCACCGCTGGGATTCGAACCCAGGATCTCCTGTTTACTAGACAGGCGCTTTAACCAACTAAGCCACGGCGCCGGCATGAGATAAAGCGCCAAAACAGCTTTTATAAATACTAATATTGATCAGGATATGAATAAGTGAGAAACGGTTCTACCACCTGGTTAGACACACAACCCTTCAGTCTCACAAACTGTGGTCT